AAAAAAAAACAAAAAACAAACCTGTGGACAAGGGAAAGCCCAGGCCCTGATGGATTCACTGCTGAAATCTACAAGAAATGTAGAGAAGTCCTAGGACTGCTGCTTCTCAGACTTTTAATGAAATTGAAAAGGAAGCAATACTGCCAGTTTTTATCCTGGAAGCAAGCATCACCTTGATAGCAAAACCAGAGAAAAACAGCCAAGAAAGACAACTACAGGCCAGGCTCACTAATGAACATAGACACAAAAATCCTCAATCAGACACGAGTATACACGGACTAAGTACCTGTTTACACAAGCGCAGGGACCAGGGTTAAAGTCCCGGTACCACATGCAGCGCCAGCCCCACCCCCTAGCCCCCCAGGCGTGCTGAGCAGGCCACCGAGACCAGGAGTGGTGGTGTACGCCTGTAATCCCAGAGCTGGGGAGGCTGAAAACAGGAGGATCACTATGAGTCCAAGCTTTGTAGTGAGACTCTGTAGTGTCTCACTATCTATAGATAGATATATATCTATATCTATCTCACTAGCAAACAATGTAGCAAATCATCAAGAAGATTATATATAATGACCAAGTAGTATCTATCGCAGGGATGCAAGAATTTGCATAGCAAGAGTCTGTTTAGGGGCCGGGGAGATGGCTCAGTGGAATAAGCACTTCCCTGGCAAGCACAAGAGCCTGAGTTCAATCCCTGGTTCTGAAAAAAAAAAAAAAAAAAAAAAAAAAGAGTCTGTTTAAAAGAAAAAAAAGTAATACGCCACATTAACAGAGCCAATGACAAAAACCATATGACTCTCTCTCTCTCTCTCTCTCTCTCTCTCTCTCTCTCTCGCATACACACACACACACACACACACACACACACACACACACACAGAGTCTGTGTGTCCCTGGGGGTGGTCCCTCTGACCCACATCACAGCCGCTCCTGCCTGTTTTCCACTTTCTCCAAGGAAGAAGTCTCTCCTGGTGAATAACGCCTTTGTAGTGGCAGCAGCGGTCCTGTTTGGATTTAGCCGCAGAGCAGGCTCCTTTGAGATGATCATGCTGGGGAGACTGCTTGTGGGAGTCAGTGCAGGTATGGATGAGGGGAACTCATCACACCTCCTTATCTCTACTCATTCATTAATGCCCTTCCCTCCCTCCCTCTCTCCCTCCCTTCCTTCTGTCTTTCCTTCTCTTTATTCATTGATCTCTCTCTCATTCACATCTGCTTTTTTTCCAAAATGGTTAAGTATGGTTTACCTTAAAGATGCACATAATTGCTGGGCATGGTGGCACATGTCTGTAATCCCAGCATTTTGGGAGCCTGAAGCAGGAGAATCATTGGATCAAGCCCAGCCTGGGCAACTTAGTGAATTTGCAAGATCCTGTCTCAAATTGCTGGGTATATAGCACCTTGGCACGGTGCTTGTTTGGCAAGTGCAAGGTCCTGAGTTCAATTCCCGGTAAAAAAAAAAAAAAAAAAAAAAAAAGGCACCAAGAACCAAAAGCCTATCTCAAAGTAAAAAGTAAAAAATGACCTAGGAATGTGAATCTGTGAGAAAGCTCCAGGTTCAGTTCTTAGAAACGCACATGGTTCTCTTTGGTCCCATGCCCCATGACCCAAGGCCCTGCCATAAGGCCCTGGGCACCAGGCTTTCACACATGGACTTTGGGGGCTTTCAGCATTGAAACCACTGCGTGGTGGTTGAAGACTGTCACACCTAGAAAGGTTCCATGAACACGTGGGGCTGAGGGAAGGGCCCAGGTTGAGAGCTGATCTAGGAGACAGCTTCTCCCAGAAGTCTTGAGGAGTGGAGTTGTAGGTCCTGTTGGCCCTACAACAGGTGAGGTGGAGCCCTCTAGAGAGTATAGGAGGATCCAGGCGTGGTGGTGCTTGCCTGTAATCCCAGCACTTAGGAAGCTGAGGAAGAAGGATCGCTGTGAGTTCAAGACCAGCCTAGGCTACAAAGTGAGCTCAAGACCAGACTGAACTGCATAGGGAGACCCTGTCTCAAAAAGACAAAAATGAATGAATGAGTATATAGGGGTAGTGTGTAGGTCTGTAGTGACCCTTGGTGCCAGGATCTAGTGGACAAGGGACTGCATGGTACCTCATGAGGGCGGGAGACATCCTGGTGTCACAGGTGTGTGGGGGCCTTCTGGTAGCTGATGGGCTCCTACCGTGCATGCTTTTAGGCGTGAGCATGAACATCCAGCCCATGTACCTGGGGGAGAGCGCCCCCAAGGAGCTGCGAGGAGCTGTGGCCATGACCTCAGCCATCTTCACAGCCCTGGGGATCATGCTGGGACAGGTGGTTGGACTCAGGTAAGGTTCCTCTTCCCTGTGCACTGACTGGCTTCAGGGATGCTAGTAAAAACTTTTCTTTGCTCAAATTTTCCCCCTCCCTGTTGCATAAATTAAGGCATTGCTTCTTTTCATGAAGCATCAAAATTGGGCCCTCATCCTTTAGGCAGATACACACAAAAAAACCCAGGAACACTTCGGTGTGGATCACCCTTTTTCCCATCTTCCCCAGGCAGATTTGGGCTCCTCCGGGGAATCATACCCTGGGCATCCCAGAAAGTAAAGAGGAACAAACTAATAAATGGAGTCTAGACTCCTGGGGATGGATGAGGTGGGCAGGGATTGGCTCTACCCTCTCTTGGTTCCTACTGGGGGGAAAGGATCCTGATGTCCAGATGGAGAGCTGGATGGGAAGAGGCACAGGGCAATGTGACTGAACAGGCAGATTAGCAGGTAGGCAGGGAGTTGAGGAGGGGAGACAGGACTGTGCCAAGGAGGCGCCTAGCCTGGACTGTCCTCTGCCTCCCCAGGGAGCTGCTGGGTGGTCCACAGGCCTGGCCTCTGCTGCTGGCCAGCTGTCTGGTGCCCGGAGTGCTCCAGCTCGCCTCCCTGCCCCTGCTCCCTGAGAGCCCGCGCTACCTCCTCATTGACCGTGGAGACTCAGAAGCTTGTGTGGCAGGTGAGTCCCTGCCCTGGGGCCCCCAGAGGTGCAGCTCACTAGAGCATGTGAGTCCTCTTTCCTTTGGCTTTATTTATCAGGGAAAAGCTGTCCTTTCTGTGCCTCAACTTCACTGACTATGTATACGTCCCTTCAAAACTCTATCTAGCAGCTGTCCTAAATTAGAGGACAGTGGGATGGATCAGACGCAGCTCCTTCCTCCCAGGAAAGCTGAGGTGGTACATTACATAGTGTACACACACACACACACACACACACACACACACACACCCCTGTGCAAGCACTACCTGCTCAATTGGATAACGATGTTTTATTAATTAACTGTGGCTATAATAAGAACACTCAGGGAACAATCATACACAAAAATCTCTGACAAAACAATAATCATTTACCACACCTTTTACTCATTTACTGAGCTGGTTGTGCTGCTCTGCTGATCTCAGCTGGCCGGCCTAGGGCACTGGGTGTCAGGCCGGTCGAGGCCGGTCTGGGTGGGGGCATTGCAGCTCTGCGCACATCTTCTACTCTTGGTACCAATCGGTGGTTAGCCTAAGAGTGTCCTTAGTGTGGGGGTGGCTGAGACACATGAACGCAAACTCCATTGCAATTCACTTTGCGAACCTTTCCACCCCCGCCCATTAACATTCCATTGGCCAAAGGGAGTCATGCACCGAACCAAGGCCAAGGCTGGGCAGATTGTTGGCATATCCTGTCCTATGGCAAGGGGAGTGGATTTAGGGAGGAGTGAAGACCAGGCCCGTGGTTGTACTCCTTCCAGTTTCCCATCACAGCTGCAATTTTTCCCTTTGACTCAGGGGTCTTAATGTATGTGGAGGACCACCTGGGTGACTTTCCTTCAGAGAAGAGCAACTGTCTCCATTCTGGATGAGCCTGACACTATTTCCATGTTTTGTTTTGTTTTGTTTTGTTTTTCATTTTATGTATTTGGTAGAGGGTCTCTCTCCGAAGCTTGGACTCATAGTGATCCTCCTGTTTTCAGTCTCCCAGTGCTGGGATTACAGGTGTACACCACCACAGCTACTTGCCTAAGCAGGCACTTAGTCCACTAAGCTATTTCATGGGCCCAGCGTCTTTATTCTTGACATGAATTGCACTGAAAGTGGTAGATTAAAATTAACTCGCTAAAATTCCAGTAACTTTTCATGGGATTACAAATATAAACTTTCTGGGATGAGAAGAGGATTGAGAAGGGCTCTCTGCTCAGGCTGGTCCCAAACTTCTGAGCTCAGCTGATCCTCCCATCTCAGCCTCCTCCCAGCTCCTCCCTCCCATCCTCAGCCTCCTAAGTAGCTGGGATGATAGGCACATGCCACTAGGCCTGGATATGGCCACAGTTACTGTGTATTCTCTGCCTTGTGCAAAATAGGTTCAACTCCACCCCGGGGTTTTTCAAAGTCTCATCCAGTCATGGTATCAGGCTTGAAGCCCTGTGATCTTAAGATTACACTACATCTTGAGGTGCTTTTTTCTGTGACCCAGAGACCTAAGATCTAAAAAGACAAGTTTTCATCTCCTACCATACTCAGCATTCAAGAAAGTGGTACACACTGGTAGCCAGATTACTATCTGACTTACTAAGCAAGGCATCTTCAGAAGGCACAGAGCAGCAGTTCTTGCAGTGGCTCTAGGATCACATGGTCAGGTTTTCCCTGCTTGGGGATAGGAATGTTTCCTTATTCAATCCAGGCTGTGGCTCCTGGGAGAGGCTTCCAGGCTATGGTCCTGCTGCAGTCCTCTGAGACAGTTTCTGTTACCCCCTTGCCCCTCCCTCCTTCCTTCCCTCTCTCCCTCCGTGTGTATGTGTGTGTGTTGTGCTGGAAAGTGAACCCATGACCTCATAAAACCTAGGCAAGTGCTGTACCATTAAAGCATGCCCTCAGGCTGGTTTCTCCTTATTTAATAGGAGCCCAGAGGGAGGAGGGGGAGAAAAGGATTTGGGGTTGGAGGGGAAGGGCTCACCCTCCGCCCAAAGAGGGGGTGAAGGAGCAGGAGCTCAGTACCCCTCCTCCACCTCAGCCCTGATGCAGCTACGAGGCAACAGTGATGTGGCCTGGGAGTTTGAGGAGATCGGGGAAGAGCAAGCTGCCTGCCAGGGCCGCCGTGCTCTGCGTCTGTGGGAGCTGCTGCAGGATCCTGCCCTGCGGAGGCAGGTGGCCAGCCTGGTGGTGCTGGGCAGTGCCATGGAGCTCTGCGGGAATGATTCGGTGAGGCCTTGCCCTGCCCTAGGCCTTGGACCCATGGTCACGCAGTAGGGAGGTGGGAGCCATGGGAGCCAAGGTCCCAGAGCTGTGTCACTCACCCCTGCCAGGTGTACGCCTACGCCTCCTCCATATTCCTGGAGGCTGGAGTGCCGCAGGAGAAGGTCCAGTACGCCATCATTGGGACTGGGAGCTGCGAGCTGCTGGCGGTTTTTGTGAGCGTGAGTCTGGGCCCAGCCACCACCAGCCCTGCAGAGGGAGGTCGGGTGGTGCTCCAGGTCCCGTGCTTCTAGGACTGCAGCCCCCTGCGTGAATCTGTTTTCCATTTCTGCTCACTGTACAACTGCAGTGAGTCAATGAGTCTTTATTGAGCACCTATGTTTGTTGGACATTCACACCTGTTTTGAGATGAAAACACTAATGAAATTGATTAAGTGACTGCAAGGGTCCTCAGGGAAGTAAATAAAGTCATAATCTGAACCAGTACATCCCTCCCTCCTGCCAGCTTCCGAATTACTTCCCTCCTTGTTGCCTGCTCCCCAACTGAAGCCAAGTGTGCCCGTCATTCTGAGTGGCTCCTTTCTCTTACAGTGTATGGTGATTGAGAGGGTAGGAAGGCGGGTGCTGCTGATAGGGGGGTACAGCATGATGACCTGCTGGGGGAGCATCTTCACAGTGGCCCTGTGCCTGCAGGTAGTGAGGGGAATGGGGCAGGGGCTGGGCCAACTCTGTTTTCCACCTCACCCTCCACCCTGTCTATGGCAGAACTCCTTCCACTGGATGCCCTACCTGGCTGTGTCCTGCACCTTTGCCTTCATCCTCAGTTTTGGTATTGGTCCTGGTGAGTGAGCCCAAAGCCTTCTGGGTTTTAGGACTTGCTGAATGAATAAGGGGCATCTGGGGGGAGTGATGGGTAGGTATAGACAAAATGTCACCTGCAGCCCCTCGGGCCCACCTGTGCTGAAGCTTCTGGGAGGGAATGGTTGGAGGAAAGTACCCTGGGATACCCATGCAGACTATGTGCAGGTGAAGGAGGGACCGGCAGAGCAGAGAAGCCAGGCTAGCCGCTTCCTGTCCTCTCTTTTTGCAGCCGGAGTGACAGGGATCCTGGCTACAGAACTGTTTGACCAGACGGCCCGGCCTGCTGCCTATGTGGTCTGCGGGGTGCTCATGTGGACCATGCTCTTCCTGGTTGGACTGGGGTTCCCCTTCATGCTGGTAGGTCTCTGGGGGCCCTGCCTCAGGGTTTGTCCCTGTCACTAGGACCACCCTAGCAGGAGGCTTCTGTCCAGGGAGACTGACCCTGAAGGGAGGGGGCCCTGTGAGCCAAGGGGTGAAGGCTCCCCTCAGAAGTTGTCATGGGTCTTCTGTTGAGGCCTGAGGGAGGCCACACCAGTCCTGGGGTCTCTTTCAACCCACAGGAGAGTTTGTCTCAGTTCCTGTACGTTCCTTTCATTGGCGTCTGCATCTGTGGGGCCATCTACAGTGGCTTATTCCTCCCTGAGACCAAAGGCAAGACCTTTCTGGAGATCTCCAAGGAGCTGCAGCGACTCGGCTCACCCAAGCAGCCCCCGCATGGGTGCAACGGCCCTGAGGTCATCACGTCCACCGAGCTCTAGCTGCAGCAGTCGGGGAGGGCAGCTGGGGCCCTTTCCTTTGCTGCTTCCATTCACTGGCTCCAGCTTATTTTTATTTTTATTTTATTTTATTTTTGAGACAGAGTCTAAGCTATGCAGTTCAGGCTGGCCTTGAACTCCGGGTTATCTTTTTGCGCCAGCCTCACAAAGGCCAAGATTAGAGGCATGTGCCACCATGTTTCAGCTAGAACATCTTGTCTGAATAGTTGTAGTCTTAAAGAATGTGAAAGATAAACTTTGTTATAGAAATCTGTGCATACGTGCTAGGGATGCAAAGCATGGGGTATGAATACAATGAAATCTTTTGTCAGTGTTGTATTAAACTGGTTTTCTATGACTATGAAAAAATACTGAGCTATATGAGCTTAAAAAGAGGAATGGTTTGTTTTGGCTGAAGACTTCAGGAGTTTCAGTCCATCATTATTTAACTCCATTGCCTTTGGGCCTGTAGTGGTGTGGTACATAATGGAGAGAGGGAACACATGGCGCACAATCTGTCACCTCAGGGGAGCTGGGAAAAGAAAGAGCACTCCAGGAGCCATGAATGGCCCTCCAAGGCTCTCCTGCAGTGGTTTAACCTATTCCTACAAGGCCCCACCTTTTAAAGGTTCTACTACCTCCAATATTACCATGAGTTGAGGAACAATCTTTAACACAGGGGTCTTGGGAGGACATTTATTTAAACCATAACAAGCCTTTATGTTTATTATTTATTTATTGCAGGACTGTAGTTGAACCCAGGACCTTCCCACTGAACTATATCCTCAACCCCCCCCCCTTTTTTTTTTTTGGTGGAACTGGGGATTGAACTTAGGCCCTTGCTCTTGCCAGGCAAGTGCTTATTCTATTGAGCGATCTCCCCGGCCCCCCTCAACCCTTTTTTAAAAGACATTTTTTTCAAACTGTCTTTCTAGGTTGTTAGGCCAGGCTAGACCTTGTAATCTTCCTGCTTCAGTCTCCTATACCGCTGGGATTACAGGTGTGTTCCACCATGGCCAGGTTATAGCAGGCCTTGAGAAAGCTCTTGTGTCAGATAGGCAGGAACACTCCCCTTACTACGTTCCAGAGTCTAACTTTGTCTGGATTTAACAAGAATGATTTTATCTTGGTGTCATCAAGACATACCCCATGTTTTAATCCTCATTTCACATGAGGATTAAATTTCAAAGTATGATGGGGGGAGCATAAACATTCAACCTATAGACTTTTTTTTTTTTTTTTGTGGAACCGAGGATTGAACTCAGGCCCTTGCACTTGCCAGGGAAGCGCTTATTCTACTGAGCCATCTCCCTGCCCCCCTATAGCCTTTTTTTGTGACTTGTTTGGCTTAACAATAAATTATGTTTGACTGCATAAGGAAACTGTTTGGGCCAGGAATATAGCACAGCAGCACAGTGCCTGCCTGGCAAGCACAAGGCTTTGAGTTCGACTCTCAGTACCAAGAAAAAGAAAACTTGCAGAAACTTTTATTTATTTATTTATTTATGTGGCGGGACCGGGGGTTGAACTCAGGTCCTTGTGCTTGTCAGGAAAGCACTTATTCTACTAAGCCATCTCCCTGGCAGAAAAAGAAAACTGTTTTCCAACATATTACATTTTCACCAACTTTGTTTGATACCCCAACTTGTTATCAACACTTGGTATTGTCAGTCTTTTTCACTTAGCCTAATGTGTGTAGTAGTTTATTTTTTTACTGTGGTCTTCCACCATGACTAATAATGTTGAACATTTCTTCATGTGCTCACATCCATTCATATGCGCACTTCTGTGAAGAATCTGTTCACATCTTTTATCCAGTATTTTTATTCAGTTGTTTTTTTTTGTTGTTGTTGTTGTTTGTTTTTGTTTTTGCGGAACCAGGGATTGAACTCAGGCCCTTGCACTTACCAGGGAAGCACTTATTCCACTGAACCATCTCCCCAGCCCCTGTTGTTTTGTTTTCGAGACGTGGTCTCATGATATAGTTGAGACTGACCCTGAACTCATGGATAGCCCAGGCTGGCCTCAAACTCCTGGCGATCCTCCCACGGCAGCCTCCTGAGTGCTGGGATTACAGCCATGCTCCACCACATCAGCTGACAGTCTTTCCTTTAACCCCAAACATAGGAGGGATGGTGCTGGCTCTCTCCTGTGGGGGGAGTAGCAGGGGTGCGGCCCGACAACTGGTTTGTATCTACCATGGGTCAGAGACAGGTATAAGCTTGTGAGTGCATGTGCAAACATCACTGTTCAGCCAGCATCAGGCCCAGCGACCTCTCCCGACTTCCTGGAGCGTTTCATCAAGCCCTGCTTCAGTCTCCTATACTGCTGGATTCAGTCTTGGCCTGAACTCCCTCTCCTGCTTGCTAATGACTAAGTACACGTGAGTCTCACTTTCAAAAGGCCAGCGTCTGGGGCCCAGTCTCTCTCTCTGTGGAGTGGCAGGCTCATGTGGTTGTCTGGCTGCCAGGTTCAAGAGGGTGCTCCTGAAGGGCTGGAATTGTTGTCCGCTGTCCTGTCTCTGCTCATTCTCTCCTCTCAGGTCCACTGGTTCTCCTTGTTGGGGTACAGGTCACTTTTTCCCACCCCTCAGAGCACTTACTCATTTATGCCTTCACGTTTGCACATTTCCACTCAGAGCCTACTACATCCTGAGGCCTCCCTCATCCCTGTTCTCAGTCTGTACCCAGGGTTTCCAGGATGGCCGTGACCCTCACTTGAAAAAAAAAAAAAAAAACAACCATCTCACAACCACAGCATGTTTGGAACTAACTTCTGCAGTTTTCTATGTATCAGGGCTGTGTTTTACACCAGTCAAGTCCTTTAATCCTAGCAGAGATCCCACAAAATTAGTATTTCTATCATCTTCTTGTACATATAAAGAAATTGAGGTATGTAAAGGCCAGTGGCTTTTCCAACATCACACAGGAAGTAGAAGGGCTAGCATTAGATCTTGGATAAGCTTGACCTTGGATCTTGCACCTTGGTCACTCTGCACACTTCAGAGACTGAAAGGTGGCTGATTTTGATATTGTAATGATGCTGAGATTCAGAATACTGATAATAATCACTGTGGCCTGCACTCTGTTGTGCTTCTTTGTCCCTACTTTATTGCGATTGGGGAGACCAGGCCCAATCCACTATATGGATTAGAGGTGGAGTCTCAGGCCAGTGCTTTCTGAAATGGCATCAGGACTGCGTGGGCTGGTGTCCGTGCAGCTGGTGGATCTAAAGGCCAAGCACTAGGAGGCAGATGGTCAGACCAAGGGTTGTAGTCCCACTCTGGCTTTGTTCCACATGCAGAGTCTTAGTTACTCTTCTCTTGTTGCTGGGACAAATACCCAACATTCAAAATGAGGGAAGGAAAGGTTTATTTAGCTCAGTTACTAGAGGTTACAAGACACTGGAGGAGAGGCTGGGGTCCTGCTGTGTCCAGGGTGATCCTTTCCACACCCCTGACAAAGCCCAAGCTAGTCAGTTTAATGGTTTGTGCCTCTCTGGCCCCGCCCCTCAAGCCACTCATTGCTCCTCCAGCTGTGGGTCTGCCCCATAATTTACATGAGGCTTTGGAGGGACAACTAGACACAAACCATAACAGGCAGCAAGGAATTTTTGATGGTTTGAAAGAACCAGACACCTGGAGAAGTGTGCTGCTCATTGGTGAGGCTCCATCTTGTCACAAGCAAGTGCTGGTTCTTCAAGTCCTCTGCCTGGAGTTACTAGAACCACTGCTCACATTGCACTGGTTAGGAAATAAGAGACCAGATTCGGGTTCTTGGATGGACTCTCCTCACTCCCAAAGGAGCAGCCCACCATGGCTATCAGTGCAGGAGAAAACGAGAGCAGAGAGGCAATGCCAGCTAGTGTACTGGGGGTGGATGGGGAGAAATGACGATAAAGGAGGGAGGTAAAAGGAGTGGAAGAAAAGGCATGCATCGATCATACATTACATCATAGAGGTGAACAAGGAGCAGGAGATGCTGGCTTGTTTGCGCTTGGCTACTGGGGCTCAGAGAAACTCCCCTAGCTGAGACATTACATAGAGCATCCACAGTGTATTAGCAGTCATGGAGCCCTGGGTTCAAGGAGGACTACAGGTGTGCGATCTAGAAGGGAAGGGCCTTGCGCCCAGCTTGAGGAACAAACACAGGCTACTTTGCTAAATGGGCTGTGGGGTCCCCTGACTGGAGGCTGGAGGCACGAGTCTTTCTGGCACTTGTGTCCTTGCTGTGCCACATGGCCATCACCGAGGCCAGCGTGTACTGTGCCATCGTTAACTACATTGCACCTGTCAGAGATCAAGAACAGGACCATCTTGGAGAATAACAAGGACTTTGCCAAATGTAGGACAATCTTGCAGCACAGAGTTCCCTGCCTGGAGACCTCCCCAGGGCAAGAGTAGGGTTAGATGTGTGGTACAGATCCCTTTGCCCAGTGATGGGAGGGAGTGAAGGCTCATTATACCCTCCCTGCATGGCCAGGGCCCTAACCCACTTGCCACCCTGTCCTCTTCCTGCTGTGTCACAGCTATCTTCAGTCTCCTGGATATGAACGGCTGCTATACTATCCTTGAGGGCACCATTAGTAGAAGACACAAAATTCACCAAAGGTTCCAAGAGAGGGCATCCCTGCCGGATCGACCAGACCGGGGCTTCCGGGAGGCGAACTAGCATAGGCGAGGGTCTGGCCAGATTGGGCTTGCCCACTGAGGCTTGGAGGTGCACCTTTGAACAGCGGAGTTCTGGTCTCACTTCCCGCTCCCTGTCCCTCCCTGCAGGGCCTCCCTGCATTCTTATATGCCTCAGAGAGCACACACACGAGCTCACGTGCACGCAGGACGGGAACATGGGGCTCGGGAGGCGCAGGACACGAGGAATCTGCGTACAGCTGAATGAACTAAGCTTTGTCTCCTCGGCCGACCCCGGAGGGCAAGGAGCCATCCGGCGGGTGAACGGCCGCCTCACTCCTGGCTCAGAGCCTCTGAGGAACCATTAGTAAGAGAAAGGGCTAACAAAGAAAGTACGGGAGGAAATAACAGGTAGACCCACGCCACAAAAGGAACGCTCTGACCGCAGACACAGGAATCGGAACCCCGGGGCGGAAGGGGCGTGCCGGGACCAGACCCCGCCCCTCGGCCGGCGGTGGCGTCACCGGAGGCGGAGCCGACTCCGCCCAGGGGCGGTGCCGCGCCGCGGTCACGTAGCTCAGGTTCCTCTGCCGCTGCCGTGCGTGTGTTGTCCGGTTCTCCTTCTCTCATCCCCTCGTCTCTCTGCCAACATGCCGATGTTCGTCCTGAACACCAACGTGCCCCGCACCTCCGTGCCAGACGGGTTCCTCTCCGAGCTCACCCAGCAGCTAGCGCAGGCCACTGGCAAGCCGGCCCAGGTTTGCGGGGAGGAGGTGGGAGGAGCGGGATGGTGGCCGCCATACGAGGTGGACGGACCCGAACTGGGGACGGGGAGGGGGGCGATGGGGGCTCGAGCCCGTAGTGTGCGCCTGGGGTCTGGCGGGTGACTCCGGCGGGCTGAGCGCGCCCCTCCCCCCAGTACATCGCAGTGCACGTGGTTCCGGACCAGCTCATGACCTTCGCGGGCTCATCCGAGCCCTGCGCGCTCTGCAGCCTGCACAGCATCGGCAAGATAGGCGGCTCGCAGAATCGCTCCTACAGCAAGCTGCTGTGTGGCCTGCTGGCCGAACGCCTGCGCATCAGTCCGGACAGGTACGTGGGGGGTCCGAGGGGCGGGGAACCCGGACCTCAGAGGACTGTGGTGGCCCAGGGCCCGCACGCGGGGACGCAGCGGACCTGAGCTCCGCCTACAACCCCCACCCCTCCTTGCGCCTCACAGGATCTACATCAACTATTATGACATGAACGCGGCCAATGTGGGCTGGAACGGCTCTACCTTCGCTTGAGAAACCCTTCTGCCTGAGTTCAACTGCACCACCCCGTCCAGGGTCCCACAGTATTTTGTACCCTCTTTCCCCAAGGGACTCCCTCCAATCAGGACAAATAAATGGTTTAGAGACCACGGCTCTCTTGGTTTTCTAGACCGGTGGGAGAATTGGTGCAGGGTGGACTTATTGACTGGGAGCCCAGGCTGGGTTGGATGGGGTGGCAGTCGTGGGGTCAAGGCCAGGTTGCCCCTCCCCCCCCAACTTGCTGTTCTGGACTACTGTATTTCCAGCAGAAACCCCACCCTTGGTGGTGTATCATGGCTGAGATAGATTGGCATTTTGCCAGGCCACAGACCTAGAAATCAAACCAAAAGCAAATCTGAGCCTCCAAGTCAAACAGTTATGCCTTTGCACAATGAACAGATTCACGACTTGTGGGGGCAGGAATCCTAAGTTTATGCGAATTTTTCTTTCTTTCTTTTTTTTTTTGCGGTACTGGGGATTGAAGGGTGTTGATATTTCTTAGAGATGTACTCCATGGTGTGCTGTGGGGCAGTGCTGGAATGCAAGTGGAGAAAAGAAAAGGGTTTGAGATCAAATTCTGCTTGTCCTCAGGTGGAGGGTTCCTGGGCCTGCAGCTTTCTCAGTCCCATTTTTCTCTGCCTTCCAGATGAGTAAGGATAGCCTGAGAGAAACCGAACCAAGTCACTCCACTGGGTGTCAAGACTGGTGCCCCATTCTTGATCTGAAAAATCACTCTAATGAACAATTTTCAGGTGTTTGGGGGGGGTAGGGGTAACACAGCATGCAGAGTCGTTATACCTTCCTGCCTCCACCCCAATTTTATGCCTGAGGACAACTCCCCTCAGGAACCCAAGCCTCCCTTACAACAGTGCCCTGAAAAGACATCAGGCTGGAGCATGGACACAGGCTCTTTTCCTTGTTTGCTTCTCCTGCCAAGCCCTTCAGGGATGGTGTGCCGCCTCCCTTCACCTTGTGCCCACAGCAGTGGAACCAATCATGGATTAATACTGCACCAAGGGGCTGGTGAGATGGCTCAGTGGTCTAAAGCACCTACTTAGAACAAGCTTAGCAAAGCACAGGGACCACGGTTCAATCCCCCAGCACCACATGCCAGCCAGCCCGCCCCCTGGTGGGCTGAGCTGGCCACACAAAAAAATAAATATAAATAAATAAATAAATAGAAAAAAAAATTAAAAAAAAAACTGCACCAAGATAAACCTTTCCTCCTTTAAAAACAAAATGACAGAAACACAAGTGGGTGGGGTGGGGTTGGTGGTGCTGAAGTAGAATAGAAATAAAAAGGTAAAAAGAGAAGGAAAATTACAATTTTTAGTTTTTTAGATCATCTTTATTCAGCTCATTCATTCTCGGGTTCTTCCCAAATCTAAAGCCTCAGCCTCAAAGGAAAATCCCTGGTGACACCAGGGGCCAGAAGTGAGTCATGCCAGCTGTCCCCAGCACACACAAACCTTGCCCATGCTGTAAATGTCACTGGCTGGAAAAGTGGGATGCAAACACTTGGAGCAGCTGTACTGGAACCAGAAATCATGACCACTAAGTGAAATGAAATGGGCTGTCAGGCAGCTGAATCCTGTGCAGCCTCCCTAAAACCAGTGGTCTCCCAGAGAGCAGTAGAAACACCTGTTTTAGAAGGCTGCTGTGCTACCGCTGGGAGCTGCCTGTAGGTAGAGCTAGTTCCTTGTTGCACTGTGCACAAGATTTCACGTGGCCAGTGCTGTCCATTGGGAACATTGTCCACGCAAAATTAAAGCACAGGGATGTGTATCAAAGGGAGTAAATGTTATAAGAAAAGTCCGTCAGGCTTTTGAAAGGACACAAAGGGGAAGATGGTGATCCTGGCCACTGTAAGCAAATCTCACCAAAGCAGAAAAGTGGAAGGGTTTTTTTTTTTTTTTTTGGTATGTTTTAGGGAAGGGTCTACAGGGTGTTCAGGGTCTCACTACTAGATCGGACTCATAGTGATCCACCTGTTTACAGCTTCCCAAGAGCTGGGATTATAGGCACGCCATCATGCTCAGTCTCAATTGCCGTCTCAGCGTGCCCTAGTTGTGAGGTCAGCACAGCAGGCCCAGGGATCGAACTCCTGGCCACTGCATCTGCCTAAGCAGGTGCTTTAGTCTGCTGAACTCTGAAAAGTGGAGGTTGATGGTGAGCATTCAGCCTATCTCCAGCCACAGGCCCCAGTGCACACCATGCCTCACATGCTCAGTGCTCAACAAGCACTGGGAGCTGTACAGACACCACCAGGTAGAACACCACATTACAGTAGCAAACTGACATTCTGTTTGTACAAGAGAGCTGTGTTCACAAACACCATATGCAGCGTAGGCACATTTACAGCATATCACCTAAGAGATTTTAAAATCAACTTGGTAAACAAAACAAAACACTACCAGCAACAACAACCAAAAGAAAATGCTTACACATTGCAAACACTGGGAGATTCATGTTAAGGAAACAGGTTTCCTTTTCTGCCTTCTCTCCATCCTATCTTGGAATTTATAATATATATTTCACTCCCTCTTAAAGGTTTGCATGGTGTCTTCTGAAGAAATCTAGGGCAGCCCATGAGTCCCACTAAGGATTTATACATGCATATGAGTTATGTTACAAGGAGGCAGATTCAGAAGGGGGAGGCCAAAGTGAGGCATAAGAACACAAGGGAAAGGAGGTCCTGTGTTCTAGAGGTACTGTGCTTCCAGGAGTTTGACCTGAGCTGGTAGGGAATCTAGAAGTGAGGTCTGGTAGCTGAGTGCCTGGTGCGTGGCCAGGTGAGGCAAAGCAAAGCAGTGGACACCTGCATCCCTAGCACCAGCAGCCTCATCTTGGATGCCACTGCCGAAATCCAGGGCTGTCATAGGTTCCCAGGGTCTTGTGAACACGGGCCAGTGTTCACTTCCATGGCCACACCAACTTTCTGTGCATGCCTCTCATAAGACTGGAGTGGTCCAAGGCCTATCACAAGGACTGTCTGAACTTCCTCAAGCCATACACTCAAAACAAAAATTCTTTCTGTACACTGATGCCAAGAGAAAAGTAAAGAATGTTCTTCAGAGAACACAGTCGCTAAATATCTCTGGGAGAGAAATGGCCTCACCTCCTTTCAATGCTCCAGGTGCCATGCTTTCTCCACAAAACAAAAATATGCAAGTGGCTCTCCAGAAATATAACTTCTCAAGAAGCTGAAAAGAAGGGCCAGGATATAGCTCAGGGCATAAATGCCTCCCTGGCAAGCACAAGGTCTGGAGTTTGAAAAAGAAGCTGGAAAATGATAGTTTGAAACATTAGCCACCTTCCTCCAATTCCCCATGCTGAAACACTGTTTACCTCTCATGGGAGGTTTCCACTGTATTGCTGCTTCTGTACCTCTCTATACTGGACATTAATCTGGTCATCCCGTCATCCTCATGTCGCTCCATGAAGTTCTTCAAGCCCATTAATGTGCAGCCAAGGCCCCCTTCATGCTCTCAGATGTTAAGTTGGCTGACAAGGAACGTCCTAGTGCATTAGTCATTTTGCCTGTGGCCACCAGCCTTTCAGTGAGATGTGGTTTCCTCTCACCTGGTCAGTGTCTCTTGCCTCCCTGCCCACCCCCCCCTTGCTTCTCCAGAGGCCCAGTTAGGAAGCAGACTGACACTGTTCCATCAGAAGCAAACCCCAGCTCAGATCCTTGTGTCTGAAGCTTGCTGGTGAGAGGAAGATGAGGGAACTGAGTAGAAGACGGACTTTGTGTCACTATGATTTGTGTCCCCTAGTGGTGATGAAACTGTTATCCTGGGTTAGATAGGTTCCTAGTTTAGACTGACCTGCCCAGAGGGAAGCATTATCTTGGAGGCCACGGGGGCAGCAAGAGGAAGAGGAGGGATACCTGGATGTCGATGACCGCTGAACCTCTCTCTAGCAAAGGTCCAGGTTTCTCCAAGCAGGGCACTCTGTGGGGGTTGCCATGGGCTGAGCAGGATGGAGGTGACCACCCACCGTTCTCCCCCCTGTGGCAATCATGCTAGACACACTGGCTTTGCGCGCTGGCCTTTCCAACCACAGCAAGGGCTTGGCCTGGGGCTTTTGTGGGTCTCCGCCCCCAGCCTTTCCGGCGACAAACAGCTACTCAGTCAGCCCTACTCCAGACGAGAGGGACACAAAATTCACCAAAGGCTCCAAGAGAGGGCATCTCCGCTGGATCGACCAGACCGGGGTAACGGTTCCCCGGTAAGTTCGTGCCTCCTTCCGCACCCTCAGCTGTCCCCTATGATCCTTGCTGTCCAAGTCACTCGGCGCACTGTCCCATACGCCAAAAAGGGACCATCCTATCCCAGACGCTGGCGCAGAGAAGCAGGCTTAAGCGGACACGGCTGGGCGACGGTGCCTTAGTGTGACCGAGCCCAGCAACGCCTCCGCCCGGGGCTCCTGACCGTTAGCGCAAGCTTTCTCCGGGACGAGCTGCTCCGATCCCCCTGGGCCGGGTAGACCTTGGTCCGCGCTCGGAGCCACGCCCGGGATCCGCGCCACCTTTCCCGCGGCAGGGCTGGGCGGACGGGAGCAGGCGGAGGGCGGGCGGGCGCGGCCCCAACGGCTGGGCTGCCGCACCGGCCGAGCGCCGGAGCCTCCGGGGCCGCGGGGAAGGGGAGGCGCGGCCGCCCGGGAGCCCTCGCGGCCGGCAGGTGGAGGCACAACTTTCTTAAAGGGACCGGTGGCTGGATCCGCGGCTCCCTGGGGCCTGGACTCTGCCTCCGGCCGGACCTCCTTTAGGGAGAAGTGAGGTCCCAATGGAGCTCTCAGCCCGTTCACCTGCAAGGACAGAGTGCGAGTGTTAATGCACCCAGCGTCCTTTTGCAACTTAATTCTTCTGCCCCAACTTATCCTCCCACTGCTCCTGAACGCATGCTCACGGGCACGCCGTAGCTGCCACCGTTGGCAAAGTTTGAAAAGCCGTGTCCCGGAGCGCGCAAGGCTCGCTGCTGCTGGGAAACGCCCGCCGCTATCCCCTTGACCCTGCCCTGTAACTGACCCTTGGGGAAAAGCCCCCCTCGCGACTACTGCGCATGCTCTGAGCTGGCAGCTCCAGAGAGGGAAATTTAAAAACGGTTGGATGTCAGACAGAGGTCAGATTGCAGACTGACAGGCGAGCCCCCTGGGGAACCCCCGTCCACCCTCGGAGTGTCGGCCAAGGCGGCCCCGCGAGATCGTCTCGCGGTACCTTCTTGCAAGCTCGGCTTTGCACTCTCCTCTCTTGCAGCGCTCTGGATTGCATTTCCAGGTTAGTGACTCCGGGGCAGGGCTGAGAGGGTCTCCCTCTGGTGTCCTTCTCTCTTTCCTGGGGTTCCCCTAATGACTTTGGGGGTGGAACTGGTCAGAGTTTTTGCCAAGTTACTGCGTTCATTTCAGGTTTGAAGTTTTGTTCTTTTATTTTTTTACTTAGGTCTTGGTATGCAGTTCAGACTGCCCTTGAATTCACTATGTAGTCCAGGCTGGCCTCAAACTCACATCAATCTTCCTCCCCACCTCCAAGTGATTACAGGCGTGCACCACCATGTTCAGATCCGGTTTGAAGGCTGAAAAACAGGAGGTTCAAGGTGTTTTTGTTCTTTTTGTTTTTAATTTTCACAGTGTTTAATTGAGGGGCTGGGGAGATGGCTCAGTGGAATAAACAATTCCCTGGCAAGCAAAAGGGCCTGAGTTCAATCCCTGGTTCCGCCAAAAAAAAAAAAAA